GCTTGTCCCCTCACGAGACATACGCCGTGTGGGCTGACGGCTGCTCCTAATGGTCGGAGGCGCTGCCGTGGGGGTGTGGGAGGACAGTGACAGAACAGCCACCTCGCAATGAACCGCTTGATCTTAATTCCAACAACCGTCTATCTGCAATGAGAGCTTAACTGGTGAGAAGCTCTGCCAATATATTTGCTTAGTTTATGTCGACAAAGTATAGATAGTCGAGCACTTACTCTGGAGTACTTTTCCCGTGCAACTCCATGCATCCGGATAAGCCCCCTTTTGGGCATGTATATTAGAAATATATATATCTGAGCAGACAACCTGCTGGTGGCAGATGACAAGGTCAATAGTCTGATCGATTGCGGCACATTGACGTTCTCCGCTATATTACGATGTCAAAGCTTATTGATCGCTTATCTTACGTAGCATTTCCACGTAATGCTCTCCCTCATCTACTAACTTACCTCGTCCGTTTTTGGCTCGACGATGCCGCCGGATTTTGTTCGTCCGATGGCTTGACCCAGGTTTACATAGGAGACATCCCGCCTAAATTTGGTTTCCCCAGTTCTGTAACCACGGATTAACTGGGGAAATATAGTTTATCGCATTGAAGCACGTTGACCCTCGGCTAGGACCGGTTACAACCTCTCTAAGGCGCCAATGTAGATAACCTGAGAAGTATAAGGAATTGATTTCCGCTGATTTGGGTAGCTATGCAGAGACGGCCACTAGGAATATAGTGCCGTTTCATAGAGAAAACTCATACAAAAGCCCTTGTGAATCCACAAAAGGCTTCAAATAATAAAGGATCCAAGAAATAAAGAAATGGTATAGTCAACCAGCTTGCGAGTGTGTTACACGCCGACAGCCAAGAAAATGTCATAAATAAAGATTCAGTGGTCCCGTTTACAACATGGCAAGCATATGAAAGCCTCAAGTGGTTCTCATTGGAAATCTAAACAATCTATAAAGCAAAATCAACGCCGACTACAATGGTTCACCGGATATATATAATGCATAATCCACGTTTTACAGGTCATCCATAGCACATTACCACGCACCCACAATACCAGCGATCGGAATATCAATACCAGTGGTGTAGGAGCTCGAGTCGCTGAGGAGGTACACGTACGCTCCACCAAGCTCCCGTGGGTCGGCCAGACGAGGCATACCACCGTAGTATTGCATCTTAAGATCCCAGTCCGGAGACTTCTCAACGTAGTATGTCATTGCAGTTCGAACGAACCCGGGAGAAATGCTGTTGACACGGATGCCATGTTGGCTCCATTCCATGGCCAGAGTGTGACACATATTTCGAACTGCGGCTTTGGTCGCACCGTACGGGGCAGAAGGAGCAGCCTGAAAAGAAAGGTTAGTGATGTCCCTCATCGAAGCGACTAGGCCGAGCTGAACGCACCCTATTTGGTCGATAAGAAGTCATACTGGAGGTCATGACAATAGACCCCTTGATCCCAAGTTCGATAAATTTGCGTGCGACGATTTGAGCACAGAAGTATGCACCAAAAACCTGGTGCCGTTAGCCTATCCTCGTATACAAGTCACAGGCGACCACTCACATTGAGATTGAAGAGTTTATCCAGTTGATCACGGTCAAACTTGAGCGCAGGCTGGTGCTTGGTCATTCCAGCATTGGCCACCAAGCCATCGATCCGACCCGTGTCCTTAACCACTTGGTTGATGGCATTCTCAATACTTTCTTCGCTCGTCACATCGGTTTGAATATAGCGAAAGTTGTTGTATCTCTTCTGAAGTTCTGCAAATTCCTCCCCAGGCTCCATCAAGTCGAGGGAGTATACGAACTTGGCCGAGTTCGCGAGACAGACCTCCGCGATTCCCAGACCGATTCCGCGGTTGGCACCCGTAATGGCGACTACTTTATCCGCCAGGGTAATCTGCCAACTGAAGTCCGAAGAAGGCATTGTGCTGAGATATGGCTCTGCTTCAGGCTTTGACGCGGCTGGTGCAGGTGCAGGTGCAGCTGGAACATTCTCGGTCGCGGCAGGGGGCATGATGGTAATGGTGATGATGACCTGGAGGAAATGAGAGCGAGGAAAGATCGGCTTTAGGGAGAACGAACAAATCTGTGAATGAGGAAACAGATAGAGATGCCAATTCCTTCAATATTTAAATGGAAATAGGGAGGGGATGTGAACTGTCGATGATTCCTAGCGACGTCAGATCTCTCGGCCTTGCCCCGAGTGTGGGATGAGCACTGCATCATAGCTCTTGACTCGGCTCGAGGCATCTCGGGTCGTGGAGTATTCCATGATAGCATTGAATTGATCAAGACTACTTGTTTGACGTCATGGGACAAATTGGCCATGAATGCAGGAGCTTTTGCCGCCTGCCGTCTATCAAAACGGGCGGATATGAGCATATCCTGAGGCATTCCCGAGGTGGGTCCCATCTGCCTCGACGCGAGGCAGATCGCATCGGATAGAACCACCAAACCCTTTTCAGGTTTCAAATCATGAACAAAGTTTGCGGGGAAGCCGTACCGATTTTGCGGAGGTGGATTCAGGTCTCGCTTTAGACTCTTAGAGCCATCACGGTTTGATTGTTCCCGAGGGCACAGACTATCGTGGGGAAACATGTCGTATTCCCATGGGCTCGCCGATGGCCTGACAGCGGCACTGTGCTACCGCTGGGTTGGCCTGGTTATGCGACGTCTAAAACTAGAGGGAGGTATAAATATCCGTTGATGCATTTCGCTGACTGCCTAGTCCAATTCCAGGGGCATAGAAAGCCAGAAAAATTCATTGGTTGTGTTGCCTTCTGTTCATCATTTCTCTGATTTCTTCACGCTCAGGGTAGTCCGTGCGATACAACTTCTCAATGGCAGGCCATCTGGAAGTGGAGGGCAAGGAAGACCTTACCTCGATGGAAATCGAGAATGTTGGCGAAGAGACTGTGCCACCATGCTCACCCGAGGAAGAGGCCGCCCTTGTGCGAAAAGTTGATCTGATGCTCCTGCCTACAATGTGGATCATGTACCTCCTATCGTACATGGACCGAACAAAGTATGTTGGCGCTGTACCCTCCTCAGACCTCAAGGGTAAAAGATATTGCACTAATACCCATTTGCACATAGCATCGGAAATGCAAAAATCTCAGGGATGCAGGAAGACCTTAACCTGACATCAGACCAATATTCGATTTGTCTGGTCGTCTTTTTCATTGGATACGTTGTCCTCGAGGTTCCTAGCAAGTAAGCAGCTATACATTGTCTCAGATGATCTTTATGCTAATCCACTATCATCTCTGTAGCCTCATACTCAGTCGAACACGGCCCTCTTTGTTCCTTCCCGGAATTATGGTGGTGTGGGGGACGTTGACATGTGTCATGGGTGTCGTGAAAGATTTCAAACACCTCGTTGTGTTGCGGGCACTGATAGGTATGGATATCATGACTATTCAATGGAGCGCCTTGACATATACTCACCACAACAGGTTGCGTTGAGTCCGGTTTTGCACCAGGCATCCTTCTTGTCATCTCATCCTGGTACAAGAAGACCGAACAATCGAAGCGATTTGGTGTCTATATCTCTGCTGCTGTGTTGTCCGGTGCGTTTGGTGGATTAATAGCTGCCGGTATTGTCGGTGGCCTAGAAGGCGCGCACGGCATTAGAGGATGGCGATGGCTGTTTATTGTTGAGGGAGCTGTTACTGTAGGGTTCGCATTAATAAGTCTTTTTATACTGCCTGATTTTCCCGCCACAACCAAGCGTCTATCAGAAAGAGAGCGATACGTCGCCATTGCAAGATTGGAATCAGATAACGTCACAGCTATGACGGAGGATGGTGGACGATTGAGTTCATGGCAGGCTATCCTGGGATCAGTGAAGGACTGGCGGACATGGATGTTTGTTATTGGATACATGGTAATTGGATATCCCCTCTCGACTATCCCGCACCATACTGACAGATCTTCAGGTCATTGTTGGTGCAAGCACGCTTTCTTACTTCTACCCGACTCTGGTCAAAGGTCTTTTCGGCGACGCATCCACCACGAGAATCAATTTCCTCACAATCCCCATCTATGCAGTGGCATTTGTCTGCACTGGTATCACGGCATACTTCAGTGATAAGATTCCTTTGTGGCGTGGTGTTGTCATTGCTGCCTGGCTGGCATTCTCCCTCGCATGCTCGATCGCTGTCTGTGCGGTATACAACTATAGTGCTCGATATGCTCTCCTTGTCCTCATGGCAGCCGGGTTGTGGGCAACCAATGGAGGTACACTTGCCTATGCCTCCTCGGCCTTCGCGGACATGCAGCCGCAGGTTAGAGGTGTCAGCCTAGCGCTGGTGAACGCGCTAGGGAACCTAGCCCAGATCTATGGTTCCGTATGTATTCATCGCCCACCAATCCACATGATAAGCTATGCTAACACTATATCAGTATCTGTTTCCAGACTCGGATGGCCCGAAATATATTATGGGTTTCGCTGTGATCTCAGCGATGTTGGCAGTCGGAGTGATTGTCTTCCTGATCCTGCACGTTTGGATTCGTCGTAAAGCCAAATCGACCGCGAGGCAGTAGAATTTGGATATTGATTGCAGAGGTTGCGCATGATTGTATCTTAAGATACGAACACAAGGTCAATCAACTGGCGCGTGTTAAACACTACCGGCGACAATGGTAGCTGTCTCTTGATACGAATAACGAACAAGTGTATATATAGATATGATGAGTTCCTGATGAATGTATACCATAGTAATAGGTAATACACCACATGTGATCCAGAACTGTACTGTGCTGCGGACTTATTACATTAGCTGGAAGGGAATGTGCTTGAGAGCACAAAAGAGTGTGGCTCCTCCTGGCCGCCAACTGGAGTTCATGGAAAACGCAAACGGGAAGACTCTTTGAAAGGTCTGGTGACTGCTGCAGAATTCCCTTGCTCTTCCCTGATTAATGGTCGAGGTCTGGTCATACCATTCAGAAGTTGGATTAATAGCACGTACGCCAAAAAGCAAACTCATCTAGCAAACGCAGAGAGCTCATCTTTCTGATATTCAGCCTCAAGCTCTCTTGTTAAGGAGTCTGCAGGCCAGCGAATTCGTCGTTGACACTTATCTAGGAGATCAAGCAATGCAGCTCGTTCATGGGGAGTATGGACACCGAGTCCCGCTGAAACCAGGTTAGAGATAAACACATAGCAAGCCATTTCGCGGGGAAATTTACCTCCATATAAACACTGAAGTGAGATACAAAAAGCCATGTCATCATTTTCGTCATTCATGCGAGCAATTCCACAAATAGTGCGGAGAGAAGATGTAAGAAGTTTCTGCGCAGCTCGATAGTCTTGCAGTCCGCCAATGGAGGGCCGGTGTAGAATGACCATGATCCTGGCTAGGCTATGAAGCTGCAAAGCAGCTGCACAAGACGGCGGATTGACCCAGATTGGGGGAAAGACATCGGTGCTTGAAGGAACTGGGAGTGGTGTGAATTCCCGTGGAAGACAGTCTTGCCATTCTTGTAACATATAGAGTAACTCGCTCCCTCGTTCCAAGCGTTGCTCCAAGTCAGTCGATTCCGACTCCTCTCGTGAAGCGTAGTTGACACACTGTGCGAGCAGGTAGGTTGCACGGGTCGTTAGTTCTGGTATGGTGAGGACTGAAACATGCTTTTTGGGCCTCCAAAAACTGAAGACTCGGCGCCGCTCGCGCATGGCTACCCAGACATCCTGTCTAAGCCAGGCCCACCACACAGCTTGACGGAGGCCCCCGCATTCGCCATCATTGTTTTGATATCGCTGTATCCAGAATACCCCCTTGAGATGTCGTTCCCAGTCTCGGTTGGAGCCATCAATCATCTCATAGGTACTAATCAAGAGCGCCGTGGCAATTAACTCTTGGCTTCCAGCATATGATTGATAGCGCATAGCCTTGTTCAGGTAATGCAGGGTTTCATAGTAATAGCGAACGGCGAGGTTCCGATCAACTGAATACGAAGGCTCAGAATCGCGACAATCCCCAGGGGTTTCCATGATAAGCGTGAAATGTCTCGCCGATAACGCTAATAACGCCTTCATCAGACCGGTGTTTCTCAGAGCTAGATGAGGAACGACAGAACAGAACTGCTGGGATGAATCAAAAAAGTCCAACCAGCCGCTGAATGTCTGCACAAAGTGAGTAAATAGCCGGAACTCCTGTTCCGATAGCTGAATGGGACCCGATGTGCTCCACGAAGATGGCACATCCGGAAGAGCATGTGACGGCTCATCAACCGCTGCCAACGGAACTTTCTTTCCTAATTCTGGGTCATGCTGAAATGATGCCGCCTGAAAGCTTTCCCGTTCTCTCAGATTTCGTGGCTCAAAGGCCGGACTTTGAGCTGAGCTTATGGAAGCTTCTTCTCCTGTTGGCAATGGGAATCTTTGCTGAGGGGATAGCAAAAACTCCCTGTCTGCATTTGCCGCATCCTGAGCCAGAAGCTCAAACCAGCTCAGGGGTGCCACCCTCGACGAGGTCGCCGATGACTCCGTCCCAGGTGAAGGGACATATTCACGAAGAGGAGACGACACTGATCTGGTCGAAATCTGACGGTGATTGGCTCTATTGGGGGCTAATGTTTGATTATAATTGCTTGGTTGTATTGGGTGTTCTTGGTGGCATGCATCCACTAGCACTTGCAGGGGTTCATGAATTGGTGCTTGGGAACTTATCACCGTGGGGATATCCTGACTTGGGGGTGTGCTTATAGACGCGTGAGAGGGAGTAATATTGGCATCTCCATAGATGCAGGGCCGTTGACCTTTTGCGCATGGTCCACATTGTGGGCGGATCTTTGACGATAAGCGATCTTTTTCACTTGCACAGAGGATTTCAAGTGGACTGATCAACTTACTTCGTCACATTTGACGTGGCGACGCTTGCAGATTAAGCTACGGATGATCAGCACTCTTCGCAAAACAACAGACACAGAAAGAAAAATGAAAAAAATTCCCTGATACTGACCAGCCCGTGTTAGTCCGCAAGCCTCGACCGCGAGATTTGCGTGGTTTTCGGATGCCACTCTGCGGGCCATTGTTCGGCATGGTGGAGAAAGGCTCAACAGAAAAGTATGTGACAGCCGATATCAACTAATGCAAGTATGTTCGACTTTGCTGGAAGGTCGTGTCGGGGTTGGAGCACGGGCCGAGACTGCGGGGAGCCACGCGGAAGCAGGGAACAAGTTGGCTCTGGCCCGGATTTCTTGGCAATTTTGGTTAACCACGGTGACGGGCAAGATACGTGGAAATAAAGGCCCTTGATTAAATTGGCAATAATATGAGTGTGACCCTAACCATAGTTAGAGAATCTTTGTCCGTTTCAATTTCCGAACCACGCCGAGCTGTAAGCCCCTCTTGCCCCCGGCCGGCGCTTGGAGATACCGCATTAGTCATAAGTACGAGCCTGCCTCGAGACGAGCATCTTTCATCATGAGCTCGAGCTCAATTAAAGAACATGAGAAAACCCCATGTTGATAGTGTTGCTTTGACACACAAGAACAATTCAGTGATCATCTATAACCCCGCTTTACAATGACTCGGCGTGCAGCAAACAAGACCCTGCAAATCCTGGATGCAGCGGAAAAAGGCCAATATGGCGTTCTGGCAGCAATTGCGTAAGTGAGAGTGCTCGCAACTCCGGAAGAATACAGGGTAATGGAAGTTTAGTTATAACGTCGAACATATCACTGCATTTGTCCGAGCAGCTGAAAACCGCAAGTCGCCGTTAATCATACAATTATTCCCTTCGGCGCTGACCCAAACACCGTCGCTTGTTCATGCAGCTGCAGCCGCAGCGAGAGCAGCCTCCGTTCCTATCTCACTTCATCTTGACCACGCACAAAACTATGATCAAATCAAAGAGATAGCGGACAGTCTACCGTTTGACTCGATAATGGTAGATATGAGTCATTATGAGAAGGAGGAAAACTTGGAAAGAACCGCAGCTTTGCGTGAATATTGTCACGCGAGAGGGATATCGACAGAGGCCGAGACGGGGCGAATCGAAGGTGGCGAAGATGGAATTATGGATACAGGTGACCTGGAAGGTATGGAGTTCAATGCAGAACTCAGTGTTTCTGATCTAACACTGCTTTGTACAGGAATCTTAACTAGTCCTGAAGATGTAGAAGACTTCATACGTGCAGGGGTTGACTATCTGGCTCCGAGCGTTGGCAACCTCCACGGTGATTATGGTCCCAAAGGACCTCAACCAGATATGGACCGGTAAGAATTGCCATGAACTGCACGCCGAACGTCGCTAAATTTCACAAATATGTTAGGCTTCGCGGAATTTTTAAAGCACTGGATGGGCGTTCCCGGTTGGTGTTACATGGAACTAACGACTTTTCCCCGGAGCTGTCGAGGGCGTGCATTCAAGCAGGTGTCACCAAGTTCAACGTCAACAAACTTGTTTTGGACCCGTGGTATGACTATATTAGGGCTAATATCACCAAGCCGATAACGCAGGTGATTGATGAGGGGATTGAGGTTCTTATACAGTCGATGGAGCGGTGGATGGACATAATGGGCAGCAGTGGAAAGGCAGAATAGAGAATACAATTGAAGAATTCTTCTCCCAATGTTAGTAATATAGTTTTGGCTATCCCAAGGCAAGCATAGCACAAGCGGTAGACTCATTAGTGGTAACCTGTGGGAGATTTCATACGGGATATCCATTGCGTAGTGCATTGCTGAGAGAGAAAAACTTGTATTGACTAAACCCAAGCTATAATTGCTAACTTGTACTCTGATTTAGAGCTGGTGCTCCGCAGACCGATGTTATTCGAGCTCACCCATGCTGTCGTCATCAACTGCCACATCATCCAGTAACGGCACAAAGCGGAAATCTACAAAGGTCACTGTGGGCCCTAGCGCTCCCCCAGACGGTCTTGTGCCATTACTCGCGCCGCTGGAGCCGTGTGTGTCGATTTCAATCATGAACTGAAGGCTTAAGACTCCTTGCCGGTCGCCTCGAATGCTTACTTTGTTAGCCACAGCCATAGCACGAGATGCCTTCTGTACAAGAGAGAATCGGTAATTTTGCTTGATGCGAGAACCCATTGAAGACGGTGGGCTGACGAGGAAGGTCTCGGTGACAGTCGGCGCAAGCTTGGCCCTCTTAGCCCGAGACCTGGACGTGCCATCATCTGTCAGCACCTTGCGAGACTGGGACGACGCCCCGTTGTTCGGGCCTTGTTCCTCTATTGAGAATTCTACAGAGGACTCGCTGAACGGACCACCAGAACCGGACAAGGCGAAGAAAGGTTCCTGATCCGCCGAGGCGGATATCTTTAACACATTGGGGTTAGTGGCACCTAGCTCCACAATGGCATTATGTAGCCAGGCAGAACGCATGATGACTTTCATTATGATGGCATCACGTTGAAGAGGGATATCGACTTCGCCGCCGTCGGGTTCGTAGGTTGTTAATTCACACGTGGTCTTGATCCCTGTCTCTGATAAAGTGATGCTCAAAGGGGAGCCGTTCTGGAAATACTGCAAGGTACATGAACGATCAAACAGCAATGCAGGCGTGGTGAAGGCGTTCGAGGACGAGGGATTCGACGGTTGGACACTAACTGCTTTGGTGGCCCCAGTGGCAGATGGATCATTTACACCAAAAATTTTCAGTGTCTCAAGGAGGGCAGAAAGCGACACGACGAAGCATGGATTGCAAGTAGGGTCTGGAGAATCATCATCGTCTCCCGAATCCCTAGACGTGTTGTTCGGCGCGGCTGGTGGGTTGAAGGTGTATGTGGTGAAAAGAGCTTTGTCGAGGAACGCGAGTGCCTGTATTACTCGGCCTTCCTCCACAGAGAAGCGAATCCCGTCTGGGGTAATAAGCACGGTAGCTTTTGGTACAAAGCTAATGCACTGTAGCAGAGTATAGAGATGATGAGCATTGCTGGAAACAGCAGAGAAGATGGGTTCCACGTCGGCCATGCTGGATGTACGAGATAGCGGAAAAGATCGAAAGCAAAGAACTCGGAAAAATTAGATTTAGAGAGAGTCTGCAGGGAGGAAGAGCTTCGACGTTTCTAATGGTATAATCCTTCTGCTTCTCTTTCAACTGGGTATATGGTACATTGAAAAGATCTGGAAGTCTTCCTAAACGTAGACCCCAACAGCGCAGATCATGTATACGGCCCCGAAGCTGGATGGTGGTATTAGCCATTGTCGGTCCCTTTGCGCAAGGCGCTCTTCTTACCCGAATGCCAATGACGCCGGAACGCCAAATGAAGCGATACTCAAGAAAGAACGGTCTGTTTAAACGTTAGATATGGACGAAGATATGTTGAATAGGGACACAAACTCAGTCCGAAAAGGCCAGTCAATATCAGTGCTGATATATGCGTCAGTGCGATCGATTAATGGCCATGTAGCGCAAACTTGTCTTACCAGAAAGCAAGAGGGTGAAGCCGACGGAGAACTGGCTATCTTTGGAAATCAGTGGAGTGTAAGGGCTCGCGGAGGCTGCCTCCCAAACTTCGTTCAACGACATGGGGATAGATTAATTTTAATAAAGCCCGGTAGATAGTGACTAGAGCAAATAAAGCATGAAACGAATGAATTGGAGACTACTGAAGCTTCTTGAAGCTCCCTTCGACCAGGTAGATAGTTATCTGGCATAATGGCGCCGGATCATTGTATTCCCGATACCGACCCCCCATATCGGCCAAACGTGGAGATCGCGCCGCTTGGGACTGAGGAGCTGACAAGCAAGCGTTATAGCCTCATTACTGGTACATCTGACGAGAATGGCATCGGAAAGTGAGTGGACAGTGTTGAACTGCGATCGCTCGAGATCTTTGATGCGTTTATTTACTGAACGAAGGTCCAGACAACAAACGGAAAGCTTCGGAGGAGGCCCTTTCCCCAGATTCACAGCAACAGAGTAAGAAAGCGCGTACCGATTCCCCGGAGAGGGAACCAAAGGTCTGTTTCATCGATACAGGAATGGTATCGGCGGAGTGTGCTGACGGTATTGTAAAAGTCTGAAGGTGGACCATTGGGAAAGCCGCCATTGAGGATCGTTCCTTTCCCGGAGAAGGTAGGCCGCCTTTTATGATCACTTACGTGGACAATGCTTATCATGGGCCTTTGATAGCCAGCCGTACTCGAAGAACGTCGAGGGGAGATCGAATTCCGTGTTGTTAATAATGATGGTTCGCGCGACAGCTTTGTCGTCCTCACTGGACTGAAGTGCATCTTTCAGAAGCAGCTCCCGAAGATGCCCAAAGACTACATTGCTCGGTTGGTCTACGATAGATCGCATTTGTCTATCGCTATTGTCAAACATCCGTTGGAAGTAGTAGGGTATGTGCACATGATCTTTCGGGGGGCTGGCACCCGCTCTTGCTAATGATGCGCAGAGGAATCACATACAGGCCTTTCAACAGTCGCACATTTGCGGAGATTGTCTTTTGTGCCATATCCTCTGATCAGCAGGTCAAGGGTTACGGTGCGCATTTGATGTCTCACTTGAAGGTAACCGGTCTCAACTCATTGCGATGCACACGGAATGCTAAGCGCTATACAGGATTATGTGAAGGCAACGTCGCCTATCATGCATTTTCTGACCTATGCAGATAACTACGCCATTGGATATTTTAAGAAGCAAGGGTTCACCAAGGAAATCACACTGGACAAGTCTATCTGGATGGGTTACATTAAGGATTATGAAGGAGGCACCATTATGCAATGTACGATGCTTCCAAAGATACGGTACCTTGAGATTGGTCGTATGCTTTTAAAGCAGAAAGAAGCAGTACACGCAAAGATCCGTGCCTTCAGCCGATCACATATTATACACGCCCCACCAAAGGAATGGAAAAATGGATCGTGTAAAATCGATCCATTAAGTATCCCGGCAATCAAGCAATCTGGATGGTCACCCGACATGGATGAATTAGCGCGTCAACCACGCCATGGGCCGAATTACAACCAACTGTTACATCTGCTGAATGATATGCAAAACCATAGTGCAGCCTGGCCATTTACGCAACCGGTCAATCGCGACGAGGTTCCCGATTATTATGAAGTGATCAAAGAGCCAATGGATCTGTCGACCATGGAAGAAAAACACGAGAAGGACATGTATCCGACGCCACAAGATTTCATCAAAGATGCCATGTTAATCTTTGACAATTGTCGACGATACAACAACGAGAACACCCCTTACGCAAAAAGTGCGAATAAACTGGAGAAATTTATGTGGCAACAGATTCGAAATATCCCCGAGTGGTCGGTAAGTATACCAGTGTAGCTCTGGCTTGGTGATTGCCCTGCGTTGCTAATCGTTGTCCTATAGCACTTGGCGGATGGCCACTAATCGATTGAATGATTGCATGAGCTTGGAGAGGTAGGAGTTTCGGCTGCTGGCGTTCACATTTTTACAGACGGTGTCATGAGCAAATACCCAATTGATGCATGGAGCATTTCGGTTTCCTTTTTAATATATATGTTTAGGTGATAAACTGGATGAGATTCGTGCCAGAGTCCTAATTCTTGGCATTATATAGTTCGTCCTGTTTTGTTTTCTTTCTAAATATATACCGTTTCCTTATTTCTTCCTTGAACAGTCTAGGCGACATTCGACATGGTCACATTTTTATTGCCGATCCTTTCAAATGCTTATTTCTTTGGCAGAGAAATGTGACAGACCCGTTGACACTCCTTGATATGGATGAGAATCCATGGATGATGGCATCCCTTGCCGAAAGCTGTCGAGAACGTGGTGGAGTGCGATCATCGGGCCGTGGGTCCAAGCCAATTAATTTAATTTCGGATTAACATTAAGGCGGGCCGTTAGCTTGGGCTTAGCGGGTTGCCAGCCGTGCAGAAAGAAACCAACCATCACAAGTCTCTTGGAGGCTTTACTCGAAGGCTGGTATGCTTCTATTGCTATTTCTATCTCTTCACTGTGGATTCTGCAGCTTGCGCTCCTTGCTGGGCTTCTGAATGGATTGTGCTTGATTTTGGGGTTTCAGCTACGATCCGGTGGCTGTTTGTTTACCCTCATCTAACTCCCCCTCTCCAGGGGTTTCTGTGACGGACAGGCTCCAAAATTCTAGATTATTCATGACGAATTTTGCCCATTGTTCGCACTCAAATCATTTCCCTCGTCATTCGTTACTTTACTCGCCCTCTACTTTCTCTATCTACTGTCATTGAAATCATAATCGAACCCTTCGGGTCTATTTACGGCTAATCCCTCGCACAAGCCGACCGCGACGTTCTTTCCCCTTTTCTTAGACCGATCTCGCTCTTCGACATAGCTATCATTCTCAAAGATGGCGTCGCCTTCGCTTACGGACTTGGAGCAGCGGAATCGGCTCCCGACTCTCTTTGAAGTCCTTAGCCGTCGTACACTAGCTCCTGTCGATCTTTTTTCGTTTTACATTTACATGCGAGACCAGCAGCGCTCGGTCGATTATCTGGACTTCTGGTACGATACATGCACACTTTGGCGTATCATTGCGTTGCCCGAGAAGCCTCTAACGATACTAATTCTAGGCTCGATGTTTCGCAACATATGTCTTTGTGCCGTCATTATGTTCGAGAGTTACGCCGATCCGTTCTAGTAGCCACGCCCGACTTGGAGAAAGCGGATAGCAAAGGCTCCTCTGACCCCTTAGGGAACCTCGAGACTTTCGGCGATATACCTTTGGTGGAAGCTGGACCCTCTGGTTTGCGCCACGGAAATCATGAGTTGGATGATCAGGACGCCGATCAAAGATTATCGGCATTCCTGCGTTCTGATGGTCATAATCCAGGGCACTCGCCCCAAGGCAGCCTTGGTTCACAGAATGCCGCCCGTACACCTTCTAATGAACAGCCACCTCGCCCAAGCTTTGGAACGCGAAACGATTCTACGTCGCCGGGCCATACCGTGGCACGGGCCGATATTCGTGCAAGTGCGGAGAAGATTCTGTATACATACCTGCTTCCGGGTGCAGAAAGAGAAATCGTACTGCCGGAGGATATGGTCTCTACAATCATCAATTTGGTTGAGGATGATGGCCGAGATGACCCAGAAGTATTCGATCCCGCGAAAGACTATGTTTTCCAGGCCATGGAGCGCGATGCATTCCCAGGGTTTTTGCAGGCGAAGGCCCTGGGTAACCTTGTCCCGCTGAGTACCGTTGCCCGTCTTGCCTTTGCGCTAGTAAGCTTTGGTGGCGGATTTTGGGGTGCCTTCTACGTTGTCCTCCGCGACAAGCCAAGGCACATCCGTTGTTGGGTATGTAGTAGTGGGTTGTCCGGTTTCGCTGCGCTTCGACACTAACATTCATGCAGTTGATACTTCCTTTTATCATCGCATCCTATTTTATTGTCTCATATCAGTACAAGATCGACCCTGTCATGGCATTTCTCGGATACAGCGAATATACCTTTATGAACTGGTCGCCGATCCGTGAACCTTACGTGCGAAAGCTCTTGAACAAACGCGCCACGGCAACCATACTGATCGCTGCATTTGTCGCCACCGCGCTCAGTGTCCTGTTCATTTTTGTTCCTGGTACCATGCTCTAAGCTCACTAGATGCCAAATTCTGGGCCAAGTCTCTAGGTCTCACTTCGGTGCCTCTATTGGAAGGTTAATGTGAACCTTGTAATCCGGCTGCCAACAGCCGGCAGATCTAATCATGTGGCTACGAAGTATGGCATACAAGATCTGATGTGGTCTTGGCTCCGACCACCCAGCTCTTCTGGAAACCGCAACGTGTTGCACTGAACAGGGTGGTCAAACATGCGAAAGAAATGCATATATTATCACCCGTCATAGCAACGGACTCATGAACTCGAACCCTTATGATCAGCTGGCATTGTATCCTAGGTTCATGGATCTGAATGCGCTGAGTCTCGGGTCAGTGGTCCGTCTACCTTTGCTCTGTCCATATTGGCTTCTCTCCCTCCCCACTACCTTTTCTCCAATTTGCTTTCTATTTCTTTTCAATTTACATTCCGAGAATACCCCTTTTCTGCTATAATTGTCCGTTAAACGACCTTCAGCGAGCCTTTTGGTTTAGTGTTCAGTGCATGATAGTTAGGCTATACATTGTGTCATAAATAATCGGAGTAATATATTCTGACGTGCGATCTCTACAAGATGGGGGGAACAAGTAAAGGATCTAAAAAGGCCGTTGGCATCTCATTCATAGGTAGTGCTTGCTTGAACCACCTAGTAGTCAAAAAGACCTAGAGTGTTTCTTAATCCGAGAAAGAGATAGTAATCACTTGCGTTCATCACATCACATTAGGTTTTCCTCCCCAAAACACGCTTCGCATGTCTAGCTCCAGCACCCGCTGATCCCGTAACGGACGATCCTGCGCCCTGGTCAATATCCATCTTCGAGGTAGAAAATTGTGAATCATAGGCTCCATCAGCACCGTTGTCCCAGTATCCATCATCAAAGTCATCCCCGCTGAACTCGCGCTTATTGCCAACGAACCCTGAGGAACCACCCTTTACAGCTCCGTGCCAACCTTGCTTTTTGGATCCTGGAAACCGGGGGTTTGACTCACCCCCATCTGAGCCCCAGTTTGACAACGTCTGCTCAATTAACACCGACCGAGCTTGCTCCTTCGCGCGCCGTTTTGCCGAGTCGGTCTTGATCTTGGCGATTTCGGCCTCGATGTCGCTGATAACGTCGCCGCAGCGGGTCTCCCACTGTGTGAGGATTGAGATCATCGTTGTCAGTGATTGAGGCTTCACGTCCCGTAAGGGTGCGACAGAAGTCACATTGATGGTCGGAGGGTTCGTCGCCGGGGAGAGACGGGCGGTGATAAGAGAGGAGTAGATGGCGGTTGTGACGAGAGATTCGAGCTCGGAGGGAGCTGCTATTGAGAGTGAATCCATGAGGGTCTGGTATGTAAGCGGCTTGATGGTTGCAGATAGGCTGAGAAGAGATAGAAGGCGGAGCTTTAGGGTTTGTTCATCGTTCAGCGGAGGGAGATTCGGCGTTGCTGTTTTTGAAATGCGTTAATCAAATCATGGATGCTCAGGTATTTCTAAACTCCAAGAGACTAGGGTCTATCTCAGTGGGGCATACTTTGATAATCCTGCCATGTACCCCAGGCAAAGATCTCCAATAGTGTAAGGTAACCTTGATACTCCGCGGGGGTGTCCTTTGACCGGAGGGCTTGGACTGTGGGCGTCTCTAGTAGCTCTGCAAATACATAGGTGTTCGGACTCGAAGTGGCATTTGTGATCAGGTTGGCGACAAATTTAGGCGATGTAGCGCTATTCGAGTTGGCCAGGTGGACGAAGGGTTGGAGGGCCTCCATGGCCCGCGAGAGTGTCTGATCCATTGGGGCTGGCGAGCGTCGGTAACGAGCTATCTGTTAGATCTCGGTATTGTCTGGCAATTTTCCCTTAACAGAGAGTCGTCCCTAGTTTATGCAAACCACTTCTATTGCCGCTTAGGTACTATGCAGTCCGTCGATGTGAATGGGAGATGTTGTTGAAAGCACTGGTGATGATATCCAACTGATGTCCCGAATGGAGTGTTTGTTTGGGATGCAAACAATGACATTGATCCCCACATGTGATAACTAGGCTATATCGGGAAGTTTACTCTTATCCTCTTATCACTCGGTATGGTCCAGTGTTCCTGTTTTTTAGTGTTTTTTAGTGTTTTTTATTTTTTATTTTTATTTTATTTTTCCCACCATGCCTTGACTCTTTGGAGGCAAATATAATAGTTATAAACCGATAGATTAAATAGAGTAGTTTTCCCACCAGCGAGAAAGTTTTATCCGAACATTAGCAGTTATTATACCGAGTTCCCATACTTGGAAACCTTCTAGTGCTCAATATGCCAGGAAGAGCGCATGGTCCTCCAAATGGATGCAAGGAGACTGCAGGAAAAGATAACTAGTTAACTAAAATCTTTGAGAACATTCTTTGTCAGAATCTCAGGAGCAATTGTCACCCTTAATATACTTGGGAAAGGAACAGCATGGAAGATATCAGCTAATAGCGCCTAAAATGAAACATTAGAGGCTCTTGACTGTTTCATGGTCAGGGCCCTTTCTTTTGACGTGGAGATTTTTTGTTTCAACTAACAACGATGGTTATTTTGACAGATGCAAGTGTCTTTCTTTCTTCTAGTTTCGTTACCAACTGATTCCTTTTTGTTGGCCCTGAACTCATTTCTGGGTTGCCGATTGTGGTCTATTTGCGGAACCCAAAACCATGGAAGCTGCTGACGAGGAAAAGTACGTGTTCTCCCCGTACGGTACGGTAAGGCTGCGAACCCAGTCGATTTCCCATGATCCACTGGACCGTCAACAGTGGACAAGTTGCAGAATGCACATCAATCCTTGACTAACTACAACTGACTACTCAGTAATCCCAACCCCTCCTTCACAGGCTGGAATGTAGGGCAGTCGATTTCACTGCAAACATGCAAAGAATGAGCTTTGCACTCCTGGTCCGTCCGAGCTTTCCAGAAAGAACCCCTTTGGACAAAGCACTGGGAGACATTGCAGGAAAAGGACCTGAAGGCTGAAAGGCAATCTATCTCGGATCCCGATCTAATCTACTCCGTACTGGTGGTAAAATACGTGTACCGGTGGCTACATTCGACCTCAGCTTGCGATATACTTTGCATTCTTTCCCCCCACTCCTTAGACAAATAGCTATTACTTGGCATCGATTTATAATAAAGCAATTTCCTCTTTCTTTTGCGTGCTTATGCAAATCATTGAAAACCAGACAGAAAGCCCCTTGGCTCAATAATTTCGTCCCCATTGGAGTTCGGCGAAGATTAAATCCAGTTCGGCGAGGATTAAATTGAATGATTGATCCGCCCGTGCTTCCGATCACATCCGTTTCGATTCTCCTACACTCGAACCGCTAGTTGACGTCTTTTGTTCTTGGGCGCTAACATCGCACCCTTCTTATTTCAACTGAAAGGGCCGGCGAGCTGCTCCTATGCACTGACACGCCTGAACCTGGCTTCCCTTGCCTGGTTTTTTATCCCCGATAAGCCACGATGTTAGGCGCCCAGGTTGATGGCGCTTCCGCCGCCCGATCGCCAGCGCACATGGCAACCACCACAGTAAACGTGGAGGGAATGACGTGCGGCGCATGCACGTCCGCCGTAGAGGGCGCTTTCAAAAGCGTGGATGGTGTTGGTGAAGTGTCGGTGAGCTTGATGATGGGCAGGGCTGTGGTACACCACGATCCAAAAGTACTATCCCCGGACAAAGTCGCCGAAATAATCGAGGATAGTGGCTTTGATGCGACAGTTATCTCTACAGATAGTCCACCGGGTCCACCGGGTGGTACGACTACAGTCAAAGAGAAAGAATCAATGGTCTCAACCACCACGTTGGCGATTGAAGGGATGACATGCGGTGCCTGCACATCAGCGGTCGAAGGGGGATTGAAGGAGGTAGCTGGCGTGAAATCGGTCAATGTTTCGTTGCTCTCGGAGCGAGCGGTTGTAGAACACCATGTATCTACGGTTACACCCGATCAGCTTGCAGAAATCATTGAAGACCGAGGCTTTGGCGCTAAGGTGCTGGACACCACTACGCCTCAGAGCGGATCTTCGCAGGAGACCACTGAAACTACGTCGCGACTGATGGTCACTACGGTTTCTATAGACGGTATGACATGCGGCGCATGCACGTCAAGTATAGAAAACGTTTTCAATGGCGTGGAGGGGTTGGTCCAATTCAATATAAGCTTGCTCGCTGAGCGCGCTATCATCACTCATGATCCCGTGGCTTTACCGTCTAAGAGCATCGTAAACATGATTGACGATGCTGGTTTTGAAGCGGCCATTCTGTCTTCCGAACCGCAAGCTCCTGTCTCGAATGCCGTCGGCCGAGTCATGCTGAGCCTTCATGGTTTGCGGGACGCACCCTCGGCGGGTGCGCTAGAGGAATCCCTTCTTCAAAAGGCAGGTATATCCTCGGCATCGGTGGACATCGCTACGTCGCGGATAACGGTGTCCTATGATAGTTCGGTAATCGGGGTTCGCTCAATTGTGGCAGCGATCGAAGCTGCCGGATACAACGCGCTGCTCGCGGATACGGATGACACCAACGCACAACTGGAATCCCTGTCCAAGACAAAGGAGGTCCAGGAGTGGAAACGCTCCTTTTTGTTCTCTGTCTCATTTGCCGTCCCTGTGTTTATCATTAATATGTTGCTGCCTATGTACCTTCGCTCTCTCGACTTTGGCAAAGTACAGTTAATTCCTGGCCTCTACCTTGGAGATCTTGCTTGCCTGCTTCTCACCATCCCAGTGCAGTTTGGTGTCGGGAAGCGATTTTATATCTCCAGCTATAAGTCTCTAAAACATCGCTCGCCGACCATGGATGTGCTCGTTGTGCTGGGTACATCCGCCGCGTTTTTCTACAGCGTCTTTGCAATGGTGATGGCCTTGCTTATCGCGCCTCATAAGCGACCCAGTACAGTATTTGATACGAGCACGATGCTTATAACGTTCGTAACACTTGGCCGCTGGTTGGAGAACAGGGCTAAGGGACAAACCTCCGCCGCGCTCTCTCGGCTTATGTCGCTGGCCCCGTCAATGACAACCATCTACGATGACCCAATTGCGGCGGAGAAGATGGCAGAAGAATGGGAAGCTTCTAGAACCGATAACGGCGAGCAGAAGTCAACATCTGATAATGAAAGGCCTGGACCAGGACACCAAGTTATCCCAACTGAACTGATTGAGGTCGGCGACATTGTCATTCTTCGCCCGGGAGATAAAGTTTCTGCCGACGGCATCGTTATTAGAGGTGAAAGCTATGTTGACGAAAGCATGATTACTGGTGAAGCTCTGCCAATTCACAAGGCCAAGGGTAGCGCTGTGGTCGCTGGAACGGTGAACGGCACGAGCTCTGTTGACTTCAAGGTAACACGGGCGGGCAAAGATACGCAATTGAGTCAAATCGTCAAGCTTGTCCAGGACGCGCAAACAAGCCGCGCGCCTATTCAACGCATGGCTGACATCGTTGCAGGATACTTCGTCCCAGCGATTATTAGCCTTGGACTGATCACGTTCTTTGGTTGGATGGTGATGAGCCACCTGCTACCGCACCCGCCTAAGATTTTCCTAGCAGATGATAATGGCGGTAAGCTCATGGTCTGCCTGAAACTGTGCATCTCGGTCATTGTCTTCGCCTGTCCCTGCGCTCTGGGTCTTAGCACTCCGACGGCAGTTATGGTTGGCACTGGTGTTGGCGCCCAGCAAGGAATTCTCGTCAAAGGTGGTGCTATTCTTGAAGCCGCCACAAAAATTACTCATGTGGTTTTCGACAAGACCGGAACCTTGACTACTGGGAAAATGAGCGTGGCTGAGGCCAAGATTGAACGTCACTGGACTTCGAATGAATGGCGCCGCAAGCTCTGGTGGTTGATTGTCGGTCTCGCAGAGATGAATAGCGAGCATCCTATTGGCAAAGCAATCTTCCTCGCAGCTAAGACAGAGTCCGGTCATTCTGACGACGGTGGGCTGCCGGGAAGCTTAGGTGATTTTGACGCTTGTGTTGGAAAAGGCATATCTGCCTTGGTCGAGCCCGCGTCCAGTGCCGAGCGCGTCCGGTACCGCGTCCTAATCGGAAATGCCACATTTTTGAGGTCCAGGGACATCTCCGTGCCTGAATCCGCCGAGGATACGGATTCTGATACGACAACATCAAAGATTCCTGCTGGTATTACGCGAATCCATGTGGCAATCGATAGCCAGTACACGGGAACGCTCTTGCTCCGGGACACTGTCAAGGTAACCGCAGTAGCAGCGGTTGCAGCTTTGCATCGCATGGGTCTCTCCACAACGCTCATCACAGGTGATACATACGCCACCGCTGTATCCATCGCGAACGCTGTTGGCATCTCGCCCGAAGCTGTCCACGCATCTGTCTCTCCCTCCGACAAGCAATCTATAATCTCCTCACTGGAAGCATCAGGTGAACGAGTTGCCATGGTTGGAGATGGAATCAACGACTCCCCAGCCTTGGCCACCGCATCTATCGGTATCGCCCTTGCTTCTGGTACAGATGTCGCCATGGAGGCAGCAGACATTGTTCTGATGCGACCCGACGATCTACTGTCCGTACCCGCGAGTCTGTCACTCTCTCGAGCAGTCTTCAACCGCATTCGGTTAAACCTCGTGTGGGCCTGCATGTACAACGTCATTGGTCTGCCTTTCGCCATGGGCTTATTCCTTCCCTTCGGTGGATACATGCTACCCCCCATGGCAGCCGGCGCAGCAATGGCAGCATCCAGCATCTCGGTCGTGGTGAGCAGTCTCCTCCTCAAATTCTGGCGCCGACCTCGTTGGATGGATGCCGAGAAGCTCGAGAAGCAGGTGGAAATGGGCAACCTCAGCTTCCGCGGCTCCCGCAAAAGCTGGTGGGAAGCAGCCCTCTCCGTCAGTGGATCCAGTGGTCGTGGCGGACCATTGCGATGGATCAAGGGCACAAAGGTTTGGTCCATCCTTACTGGTAAACCATCCGGTCGTCTGGACTCAGACGAAGGCTACGTCCCGCTGCAGACCGTCGAACCTGCCGTTTAAGCGTAATTACATCTAGTTTGTTGCATTGTTGATTCTGGAGTTTATACACTACATTTAGCATGATTAGAAGCATGCTTTTCTTCGGGGCTCTCTGACGATCCGTCTGAGAATCGTCTGATTTTGTTTGATTCGGTCTGTTGGCTATACTGTATGTTCGTTTGGATTGATACGATACCTCTTGGTTATGTTTATAGCGTTCTGGTCAATGATACACTTGGGTTGCTCTGATCAATGATCGTAGTGCGAGGGAACTTCTGGTACCTCGTTAGTGTGTAGAGAGCTTTTGCCGACAATGATTACAGCACACCGTAGCAATGGGTTTTATGTTCACGTATTTCTCGGAATTTCTATCTACCAGCTACACAATATCATCAATCTTAATATACCAGCGTACATGGCGCACATCACATCATTAACAAGGCTGAAAAGGAGACAAAAGACCTGCATCACGCTCGAATCATATTTCAGATCGTCAGTCATGAAACACCACAAGCTCAGTCAAAGAACAGAAAGGGGGTAGCTTGCTTCTGTGCAGAAACTGTTAATCTAACTCATACCAATTCCAATTTTCAAACTATGGTTTAGGTTGCTCATCTCCCTTCATCGAGGCACCGGCCTCTTCATTTGCATTTTTGGCGTCGTCTAGCGTGATGTCTCCGTCTCCGTCTGCGTTCTCTTTGGTCGAAATCTGGTTAGCATCATTGTCCAGCGGGCGGTTTTGCTCGGCGGAGTTGTTGTTGGCTCCTTCTTCGTTCTCGAGCGTCATCTCGACTCCCTTGCCGTCTTGCAAGCCCATGTCCTCTACTCCTAGTATCCGGGGGCCCCGAGCATGGGGAATATCTTCTGAGGGGTCTGTCTGTTGGGGTCCAGTGTCTTCCATCGCCTCGTTTTCTATAACCGATGTTGTCGGATGGGAAAGTACGGGCTCAGCGGCACCGTCTGCTTCTTGCTGAAAGGAATGCTGCTGTGGTGTTGCTTCAGACATAGCATCGTGATCTGTCGATATGTTAGCAGATACTCAGTCTATAGGTTGAGAGCCTATATGGGAGAAAGTACCTTCGGAAAGAGAAGTTCCACCTTCGCCCTCGGCATCTGGAGAAGCAATATTACTCAACCAAGGAATGGGAGTGAGAAGAGCACCACCCAAGGACTCGTCACTGCCGAGGGCATGATCCGAAAACATCGGTCCACTCTCCGCGCCATTCAGAATACCATTCGACTGGTCCCCGCTTGCGTGCGTCTTCAGCGGGAAGATATCCGCGCTGCTAGTGACCGACACGACGCGGTCGACCGCTCGCAAGTAAGCCGGAAGGGTCTTGTAGTGCTTGTTAGGACGGACGATAAGCTCTGCGAGCCTTTGGATCGTATGCGGTGGCTTGGTGCTGAACAGCGACCTCAATGTTGATTTGGTGGAGTCTAGCAGTAACTGGAGGGCACTGGGCAGATTTGGACTGGCGGAAGACTGAGGCTGTGAGTCGGGAATGCGCTCGCCCGAGGGCTCTGTGGGCTGTGTGGATGTCTGGGAGTCGGCTGGGGTGGCATTCTCTTTATTGCTGCTTGCGGGTATTGAATTGGGCTCTTGCAGGAAGGAGGTGGAGAGGTTGGAGGTTGGTTGTGGTTGGGAGATAGATACGGTGGATTCTAGAGACACTTGGGGCATGGGAAAGACATTGTAAACGATCTATCCGGTGTTCCAGTTAGAAATGAGAGGTCGAGAACAATATGGAGGGAGACGCGCACATATTCCAATCGTTCGAGCAACGGTTCCACCATGCCAGGCCATTTCTCACTGGGATAGGACGTCAGCGCTTAGTCAAGGGTGGGATGGCAATGTCTAGCATACAAGTCCATGGAGCCGCCATTGGCGACCGTCTCCAGGGTTTCTTCGTCTATCAGGACAATCTCAGTTAGCTATTAACATAGCTCCAACAGATGCATCTGGAAGACGTGGCGGTGAACAAAGTGGGATGGGTTGTAGATATGTGCATCGCATTCAGAGACCCAATGGTTAGGGAGCCAAATCACAGCTACACAGATACGACATACCTAGAGACATCCTCCCGAATGCGAAAACCCAAGGTCAAGGAGATGAAGTCGATATCAGACGCGATACGATGCGAAACGATAATGCCGGAGCTTTCGTAGGCGCGCGGGGAGGCGGGTAGCCACCGTGCCTTATTGGCCCGTGCAGACGCTTATCAATTGGCTCACGTGACGGTTATCGGGCCAATTTTTTAGAGGCGGAGAAGAGGGGCTCATGATTCACTTGCTCCAGATCGTGTGGATTTGTGTCTCTCCGCGGCTCCCACTTGTATTGTGCACCCGAATCAACTTCTTTTTATACCCTATCCCAGTATGTGGAACTCTCCTAAGGTAGGAATCCTCGGCGGAGGCCAATTGGGCCGCATGCTGGTCGAGTCCGCCAACCGATTGAACATCCAATGCAACGTACTCGATGCGGAGAACTCCCCGGCCAAGCAGATTAGCAGCCACGATGGCCACGTTACCGGCTCATTCAAGGAGCGCGAGGCCGTTAGGGAACTGGCCAAGACCTGCGACGTTGTGACGGCGGAGATTGAGCATGTCGACACCTATGCCCTGGAGGAGATCGCCTCTCAGGTCAAGATTGAACCCAGCTGGCAAGCGATTCGGACGATTCAGAACAAGTTCAATCAGAAGGAGCACCTGCGGAAATATGGTATTCCCATGGCGGAGCACCGTGAGCTGGCCGAGAACACTCCCGAAGAATTGGCCAAGGTTGGCGAACAGCTTGGATACCCTATGATGTTGAAGTCGAAGACTATGGCGTACGACGGACGTGGTGAGTCATCCTTGACGATGACCATATACACTATTTCACGGCTAATATGTACGATTGTGCCTAGGAAACTATCGTGTTAACTCCAAAGAGGATATTCCCGAGGCCCTTGAAGCGCTTAAGGACCGCCCATTGTATGCAGAGAAGTGGGCCTACTTCAAGATGGTCAGTACCCGACCCCTATTGTCTAAGAGGAGGAGGTTGCTAAGTATACAATAGGAATTGGCCGTCATGGTCGTGAAGACCAAGGACGATGTCCTGTCATACCCCACCGTCGAGACCGTCCAAGAAGACTCGATATGCAAGCTTGTCTACGCCCCTGCGCGCAACGTATCCGACGCCATCAACCAGAAAGCTCAGGAGTTAGCCCGTAAGGCCGTCGCAGCCTTCGACGGAAAGGGCGTCTTCGGTGTCGAAATGTTCCTCCTCGAAGACGACAGTCTGATCCTGTGCGAAATTGCTAGCCGTATCCACAACTCCGGCCACTACACCATTGAAGGTTGCCCCCTGTCTCAATTTGATACCCATATCCGCGCCATTCTCGATCTTCCCATCCCTCCCAAGAGCCTGGAGCTCCGTCAACCCTCCATCATGCTCAACATCATCGGCGGTGCCGCCCCCGACACACATCTGAAGGCTGCAGAGCACGCTCTCTCTATCCCCAACGCCAGCATCCACCTCTACAGCAAGGGCGCCGCCAAACCAGGCCGCAAGATGGGCCACATCACCGTCACCGCGCCGACCATGCACGAAGCCGAGACGCACATCCAGCCCTTGATCGACGTGGTCGACGAGATCCGCGCCCAGCGCAGCGACATCAAGACCAAGCCCCAGCAGTCGGGCCCCTCGAAGCCCGCACCCTCCGTGGCCGTCATCATGGGCTCCGACAGCGATCTCAAGACCCTCGTCCCAGGACTCAAGCTCCTTAAAGACTACTTCGGCATCGAGCCCGCAGTTGAAATCACCTCCGCTCACCGCACCCCAGAGTACATGGCTGAGTACTCCGCCAGTGCCGCTGCCCGCGGTATCAAGGTTATCATCGCTGCGGCAGGCGGCGCCGCGCATCTCCCCGGTATGGCCGCCGCTCACACCGCTCTTCCCGTGATCGGCGTCCCAGTCAAGGGCAGCTCCTTGGATGGTGTAGACAGTCTGTACAGCATCGTGCAGATGCCCAGAGGTATGTCCAACCCTGATGATCTCCAACCGATGTTTTCTTATGAAGAAATCACTAATACATAATTTATAGGTGTCCCCGTCGCCACCGTCGGAATCAACAACAGCATCAACGCCGCTCTCCTGGCCGCCAGAATCCTGGGCTCCTTTGACCCGGCCATCCAGCGCAAGGTGGAGGCGTATGCTGAGCAGGCTAAGACCGAAAACCTCGATTTCAAGGGTACTAAGATGCGCGAGCTCGGTTGGGAAAAGTACTTTGAGCAAATGTGAAAAAGGGACTGGGAAAAGTTGGTTTAATAGAGGTTAAAATAGACGTGCGACGTGCTGATGAAATTTAAGTAGTTATGTCTTTTGGATATGTGTAGTTATTCATTATTAGGTTTATTGTAACCTCTCTTATCTGTTGAGTACCGCTCGGGGTTTATTCTTATGTACGGTGTACTAAAGGTATCTGATGTATTGGTAGTGCCACATGTCTACAGAATGTTTTATAGCATAAGATATCGTAAGAGCAGATTACAACATATGATTAACTAAGTACCTTGTGACAAGTCACAACCATAGAGCATTAATACATAAGAGAAAGTACATGACATGGCAGACTAGAACCATGATCATAAGTTACTGGCACCAAACCCATAATCCACAATTCAACACAAGGGGGTAACATGACCAAAATCACAAACACAAACTGAAACTGGGATATCAAAAACATATAGACAGCATAGGATACATCTTAAGTCATGGATCAATCGTGTGCGAGGCTGATCTCTTAAGCAGTCTGGGGGTTGAAAGCATGTTCAGCTCCCGGAATGGTAGCGGGAACACCATCCTGGGTGGCTTTGTAGCCGCCATTCGAAGTGAAGGCTTTGTCGACCTGGTCGGAGAATCCGCGGGCACCGTAACCGTTTGCTTTGTGGACACCGTTAGTAGCACCATTGGTAACTCCATGTGTTCCTTTGACGGCAGCGGAGCCGTTCGTTGCCCCGACGGTGGTGGAACCGTTGGAAGTGTGAGCACCGGTAGCTGTTGCACTGCCGCTGGTCACGTTGTCATCGGCAATACGACCTTGGGAGGTGGTGTGTGGCTTGCGGGTGATATCAGCCGGGGCTGGAATGTTGGTAGACTCAGGTGCATCGCCGATAGTGAAGATGGGTGACTCCCAACGTTCGCCCCTCTCCGCAAGCTCCTTGTATTCAGTGGCCTTGCTGGAGATGCCACCAGGGAGCTGAATCTCGGGGAAGAGGGAATCGTGAAGTGTCGTTGCCGTCTGGACCTGGGTGTGAGAGGCGCGCTGGGCGATAGCCTGGGCCTTCTGCTTATTCTCTTCCATCTTAGCGCGCATGGCATCCAGGTAGCGGGAGTAGATGCTGGGTGCGTTTGCGGGATCCTCAATGGCGGCTTCCTTTGCGCGCTTGACCTCGCTGTGGATCTCATAGGCAAAAGCATCTCCCCTAGAGAACGCATCGCGAACCTGCTGCTCGAGGACCTTCTGCAGGACGGGGCGGACAGTGCGGAAAAGCAATGGCTTGAAGATCGTGAAGAGAGCCTTGTGCCTGGACTTCTTCAATTTGATGTCGAAGGAGTCGATCTTCACGGACACTTTGTCCAACTTCACGAAGTTTTGGCGGTCTTCCTTATGGGCATTGGAAGCTGTGATTTTGAAGCCAAAGCCATCTCCGCCCAAGAAGATATCCATAACTCCTTCATCTGTGATGGCAGGGAATCCCTGTTTCTTGTTGATGTAGTAACTGACATCTGGAAAGTTAGAGTTAGCATGAGTTTATAGTTGTGCAAGTCGAGTCAAACTTACCTCGCAAGTCGGCCTGAATTCCGGAAACAGAGATCATGATCTTATTGTCTCTCTTACTGCTGATCTTCTTCCGTCCCCAACGGAGGTAGTTGTCACTGCCGAACTCGACAACATTCGGCATCAAATTATCACTCTCGACGACAAGGTTTTCAACGACCTAAAAGAGGTTATAAGCTGAACCAGAGCTTACTTCGACAGGGGTAAACTTACCACATCAGCCATGGGGTCCGACACCTCAATTCGAGGGATAGGAACGTAGCGGACATTCTCAAAGATGCCAGGCAAAATGACATCCCGAAGATCCGTAAGAAGGTGTGGCTTGAAAGAGACGTTACCGCTTGAGTCTCGGCCGAGGTCGGTGAACAGCCTCTCAACTGCTTCTCCGAAGGCTTTGTTCTGAGGATCGTGGGCGAACTGCTCGCCAATAAACTTGACTTCGTCAAGAATGCGGTCTGTATGGTCCCTGTAGCGTTCGCGCAACAAGTATCGGCCGTGGTCGGACAGCTGATCATAATGGCGGTCCCAGTCCTCCTGCATAATGTAGCCTTGTTCCTGGAGAGATTTCCTGTTTCTATTAGCGAAGTCCTATGAAATAATCATCAGGCAGAGACATACCGGATGAACGTGTCCATGTTCTTGAACCATCCCTTGAGCTCAGGATCTCTGTCCGCATCCCGATAGATATTCTCTAGCGAGTCAAAGAGATCGTCCAAGGACGTGCTGTTGGCGAATCGCTCGATCAGGACCTGTGACAGAAATTCAGTAACTGGCGGAGTGCTTGCGTCTCAAAGGAACATACCCGTAGGCTCTTCTCCATTTTGCTGATCTTATCAGTGCCACGGGTGCCCCTAACAGTTCCAGCACCCTGTTGGGTTACATCCCTAGTAGTACTGCCATACTTCTCCGCGAGAGACAGCAAGGTTTCGATGGCCCGTTGGTCTAAACGAGACTCATTAGTTTGCCATTTCGTCACCGAGCTTGGTGTTCGTTTATTCAATCTGGGTAACTCACAGTCGGCACGGCCCTGGATCTCAATGATCATTTTCTTCAAGCGCCAGATAGCTTGCTCGCGGCGTTCCTTGGGCATCTTCCTCGACAGGTAGTTCTTTGTCTTTCCGGCGAGGTCACGGGCACGGGACTTCTGCTCTTCGGGGATGTTCTCGGAAAGCTTTTCCCTGGTCTTTTCAGCAGCTACGGCGGCGCCAGTACGACCATCAACTTCCACAGCAGAGTCCTGCCGCTGGTCACTAGTTGCAGCCTGGACTGCAGTGTCGGCGACTTCATTCGCTTGTTGCTCGGCCTTTCAATTGTCAATATTGCTTGTAATAATCCTCGCACGCAAAGACCAAAACTTACATTGGCCCTGTTCTTCCTGAAACGAGAAGTAAATTGCTCCTTGTGTTTGGCATAGTCAGGCTTCTCATGCCAGGTATTGTCCTCGGCAGGCTGGTCAACTTGTGCCAGTTGTTCCTCTGACGGCCGGACCTGGTTGGCGGCTTTCTGCGAAGCATCGCCAGCAATATCGCGGACAAGGATCCAGGCATCGTTCACTTTCACATGTCAATACCACAGCAGGTTCAAAGGTCTAGAGAATACGTACAGAGCTTCCTAAACTCTCCATTGGTGATCAGGAGGTTTCCAAGGGTCTTCAAGCCTTCCAGAGCCTCCCTACCATGCTGCTGGGCCGATTCCCTACTCCAAGGAACATCTGGCTTCTCTCCGACATGTTCACCAGTGAGGCTCTGGGCCTCCCAGATGAACTCTTGAATCAATTGACCGTCATTCTTGCTAAGAATGAGTCGCTTCGCCTGCTCAATTACATCGCGAACGTCTTCAAGAAGGGCTTGTCCTTCTTCAGACAACTCCTTTGATGGTGATGAGAGAGCTTTGGACTTGAGTGCGCTGTTTAGAGCAACGTCGCATTGCTTGTTCTGCAGCACGAGTCGTACGTTAGCCGTCGGGCTGATGCCGATGGGACCGTGCTATATCGTGGTGTCTTGGAACTCACCGATGGAAGTTTGCCATTCTTGAACGCTGTGAAACAGTGTCAGTGACTTGGTCGGGATGTGACTACCTCTTCTAGACATGAGGCGTTTTACCTTGGTATATCCCATATAGCTGCAGCTTCTGGTTGATATCCTACAGACGAGTGATTTGGGTTAGCATGGAACTTTCTTCCCCGGACAGAATGCGCCATCAACCCACTTTGTCCCTCTGTTTCGTATCGATCGGGCGATTGACCAGCCGGGAAGACATGATGTAGGCTTTGTTGTCTCCCGGTGCTCACGAGGTGGAGAGGAGTATTAGCAACGTAAGAAAGATTAATGATTAGATATGAAGGGACTGCAGGGAGACGTCAAACGTGTCACCGACACCGAAACAGTCAAGCCAAGTGTGAGTCGAGAGAAAAATAGATTACAAGGGAGAAACAGTACGTCACGTCGTCGCTGGGGGTATCACGGGGAATGAAGGACGCAAACGGATTAGGTTAGGGTTTGGGTGTTTTGACTGGAATGCAACACAATGGGAAATTTTCTACAACAAGCAGTGGATCGAGGGTGGGAATGGATTCTTATATATCAAGCTGGAAAAGCAGGTCGCAGGGGGGATTTCACAAGCAAGAAGAGTCCGTCAGGCGGAATTGTAACAATTGACGTCACGGTGTCGTGGCTGCTGGACTTCATTGGATTTTATTCAATTTTGATTGATTTAACAGGTACGGATTTGCTACCTTAAGAAAGCCACCTAAAACCCGTTCAATCCTTGGAAAAAGTTCTCGATGCCTGGTCCCTGAGGCCATCTCGGGTTCCCCCTTTGAGTGCTAAAGATGGATGAGGTCATCCAGTGATGACGAAGAACTGCAGGACGCAGGAGTCTCCTTTACACAGGACTAGTAGTAACCCCCCTTGCAAGATCAAGAAAAGAACGAAAAGATCGTCAAACCTTAACACACCACCTGTTGAGGTCGAGAAGCGATCGGCGCGATGAGGTTCGTCGTATGTACGATGCGGTAACGATGGAGTCAACGGGCGCCCTATCATGGACGTTGGGTCTCGAGCTAAAACTCGACATCAACCTAGAATCACGGACACTTCCATAAGGGCCAGTAAATACGGAGTACTCGTTCGTACGTAGCGGTATAAAACTAGACAGTATTCGGTGAGCTGTGCCTTCTCTCCACTCGGCACCGCAGCAACGCATCACAATGACGTCACCACCTGAAGCTCGATTTCAATTCATTTCATGCTCAAAGCTAAACATGGATTTCGATATAGTACTACTAGTAGTATGGGGTTGCCTGAGAACCCTGGGTTACACTATTGATGTTACCTAATTAGTCTTCTTCTTCTTCTTTCTTTTTTTTTTACAGTCAAGGTTAATCTGTATGCTAATTTTCATAGTCTACACCTAGAGCTACCTACTACACAACGCTACGGAGTACGTATAGAGCTTAATGTTCAGATGTGGACCCAGGCTTAGCGCCCTCTGCGCACCCAACATTAAGCCTCAACGGTGGGGGGGATTTGACACACGTACC